TAGTGAAGTTGAAATGGAAAATGGTACTGTGATGTTTTTTGTCCTCAGAAGCTTTTCCGAGTAAGACACGTTTTTGCCGAGTCTCCTTATGTAATATAAATATTATGTACTCAAAATACATATTTATTTTACTGTTTTGAATTCTGACAAAATCGATTTTTTATAACCCATTTGTAAGATATCACAAATGAATCCAAGATTGGACCTCCGTTTACAAAATGTCACGGTTGAATAAAACACTTTTTTGTGAGTTTTTTTAAATGAATCATAATAAAAACGTCCATTACGTATTATTACAAATAGAAATCGCTCAATTCCACTCGATTAAGTCGGCCTTGAACTTCTTAAATTATATATATGTATACACACATTATAGGTTCGCGATTCCCAAAAAAATTGAATTGGCAACTTTCTTCTTCACGATTACGTTATGATCAATTTAACATCTTTTACTCTACGGTACAGTAAGTTATAGTGGAATCCAGTGGCGCTACAAAGACCTACTCGTCCTCTATCATCTATGGGAAGCAAATATACCTGGTGTACTAATGATTTGTCCAAGTGGGTGATCAGACTCCGTGCTTGACACATGTCGTAGATTTATGGTTTTAAGACGTGCCATAATTCCCTCCATAGTAACAGAAAGTGTTCACTTGTAATAATAGCACGCTTAAGCCAAGCGGCAGCGCTGAATTTACAGTTTTAAATATTTTTTATTTGATAGTGAATAAATACTTTTTTATTTTCAGGTTCAGCAATAACGAGTATGCTACTTGTTATATTTGGCTTGATGGATAACCTCGGTCCTTGGTGGTATATTGCGACAGTAATACCATTTTCTTTGACCGGTGGTTATGTGGTTCTTTTCACGGGGGCGTATTGCTACGTCAGTGACACCAGTACCAAGGAGAACACATCTTTAAGGTGACAGCGACCAAATTAAATTTAAATTGCGTATTCTCACAATTTTGTAATTATATATTTATTTCGACTATTGCTAAACGAAATTCTCCGAGTTAGCGCAACGAATGAGCTAATTAAAAAAAATTAATAACTTTTATTTTAGGATGACAATGGTGGACGCGACTGCATCATCGGGCAGTGTGATTGGTTCCATATTAAGTTCTTATTTGATACTATCCATTGGAAACGTGTACCTTCTACTTTTAACGTCTACTTTGAACGTATTCTCGTATGCATTTACTAACGTCTACATAAAAGAGTCCTTAAATGGTGCCTTACAGGTATTGTTAACATTAGTATATAACCAACCAGCGGCCTGTCCCGCTTTCAAACGGCCTTATTAAATTAAACATTATTTCGCTAATTTGACAGCTAAGGATTGACTTTGCGCCATAGCTATTAATTTAGCAATATCGATTTTTTTAAATTAAATTTAACTGTTAGGTTATGCAAATAGATTTTCATAGCAAAACATACTATATCTATATTTCATATTTCAGGGCGGATCGTGGAGAGTGTTAGACCTACTATTAGTTAAGGACATGTTTAGAGAATGCTTTAAACATCGTCCTGATCACAGGAGAACGCAAATTATTTTAATTTCAATTACGAAATTTCTCCTAATAATTGTGTTGTATGGTACAAGCTCTTTAGAATATTTATTCACACGAACACAATTGCATTGGTCATTACAAGACTTTACTAAATACTCAGCTCTAAGTACGTCATTATCTTTCGTCGGAGGATTCTTCGGTATAATGGTTGTTCAGAAAATCTTAGGAATAGGAGATATTTCCTTCGCTATATTTGCGATTCTTAGCACAGTAGCGGAATATGTCCTAAAGATTTGTGCTATATCGTGGTGGTATATGTATTTGGGTGAGTATTAATATACCTTTGTTAATTTTTTTGACTAAAAAAGCCGTTTTATTGGGGGCTATGGGGTGACGGGTAGACCCACAAACATGTCTGCCACATTTTAGCAGGTCGTGTACATTTTTTATTAATTTGTTTTACAGATAGCAGTAAAATCCAGAATACAATTTAATTTATCTCAACTTTATAATTATAATTCCTGATCTATTTTATGTTTTAGGTGCCCTAGTATCCGTATTTAAAGGGCTGTCGAGCGCATTAACACGTTCTTACATAAGTAAAATCCTGCCATCAGAAGATGTAGCAAAAATATTCGCACTGGTGTGTGGATTTGAAGGTTTCGCACCACTTTTGGCGCCATTGATCTATAACTCTTTATATGCCGCCACTCTGGCAACACTGCCCGGCGCCATTTATATACTAAGCAGTATATTTGCGTTGGTCTGTGTCGTAATGTTGGGGTAAGTTATTGAAAGAAGTAGGGTTTAAATAAAATTTAGTACATTGCATTATTTAATTATGAACTGTTTATCTAGGAATCAATTTAGCAATAAGTATTTACGTAGTAACAAAAGGACCAACGACCAACGTCTGGTATTAAAAAGAATAGATTTGATCTAGAAGATAACGTGTTGCTAGTAGAATTATTTATTTCAGTGCATATTATAGTCTGTTGAGCGTTTAACTTTTAATTAAATATTTTTTTTTTATAAAGACACGTGTTAATTCTGTAAACGGAGTATTTTTATTCTTGAGTAAATTTAAAATAATATTAGATCTTGCTTTCAAATAGTTCTTTCATAATATTTCAGATTCGTACAATACTATCATTGGAGAGGATCGGGAGCGCATTATCAACGTATTAATTCTGGTATGGTACATAATAGTACGGGAGGTAGCAACGTTTTCGAGAAAGAATTTTAGGTCAGTGATTTTGTGATATGTCTTCCTTCTTGCACTTTCGGTTGAGTCTTGGCAATCTGGCTGGCGGTAGCGGTTGCGTTCTTTAGTGCGACCTACGTCAGGTAATATCCTGGATTTTAAAAGCATTTTAAGAAACGTAATTTTTATTTTTCTTTTAAAAGTCTACCTGACATAATTTTTTATTGCCAGACATTTTTCACATTGCTAACTATGTGCCAGACGCGATTTATGTTTTTTTATAAAAATTTCAAAGTATTTTAGAATGTCTGTAATTTTAATATTATGTTCTTTAAATATAAGAAAAACTAAAAATGAATTTGCCAGACATTAATTCGATTGTTAAGCCTTGAATTAAAATGAAAAAGTCATGAAAAGTGGAGAGCTTTTTGGTAATAAAAATTTACGTAAGCTTTAATAAATGTATCAACAAAGTGATAAATAACTACGTAATTAAAACTATTGAAGAATCATTTCGTGTGAAGAACACGAAGAAGCTGATTCTAGGTTATTTTCATAGCCATCAACGAGAGTTACGCTTCTGTCTGAAAAAAAAATTAAAAATAACTCTTCCTCAAATAAGCTCTACTGCAATTTTTCATGACTTTTCTTATTTCAAGGCCTAACAATCGAATTTATTCTGGCAAATTCATTTTTATTTTTCTTATATTTCAATAACATAATATTAAATTACAGACATCTAAAATACTTTGAAATTTTATAAAAAAAAAAAATTAAAATCGCGCTGGCAATAAGCAATGTGAAAAATGTCTGGCATAAAAAAATATTCAGGTAGACTTATTTAAAGAGAAAGAAATTAAAAATTGCGCTTCTTAAAATGCAATGCTTCATCATTGCAATACTTTTTCATTTTAATTCAAGACTTAACAACGTTAGGGCACATTTTTTTTCTTATATTTAAAGAACAAATATAAAATTACAGACATTCTAAAATACTTTGAAATTTTTATAAAAAAACTTAAATCGCGCTGGCACAAGTTAGCAATGTGAAAAATGTCTGGCAAAAAAAAGATTATGTAGGTAGACTATTTAAAAACGAAAAATTAAAAATTACGTAGTTAAAATCAGGAAACCGACAGAAGAGGCATAATGAACGCAACGCGGCTTGCCCAGACTACGATAAGAAGGAAGACTTATCACAAAATCAGCTGACCTAAAATTCTTTCTTTTCAAACGTTGCTACCTCCCGTACTATAAACTACTACATCCAGCAACGCATCGGCGACTATTTAGTCGCGGATGCGTTGTAGCCTAGTAATTGGCTTCCTCCCTGCAGTTTAAATTACCTAACCCATAAAGCTATATTAAAATTCAGCAATTTCCATAAATTTTAAAATTATCCAGGCAGAGTTAATGTTTTCTTGTGTCTGTGCCGAAAGTCCTTTCTTATTATGTTGACAAAGTCATGTGTATGTTGATAATTAGTATGAAGAGAGTGAATATAAATAATAAAATGATGCATAGAAAAAAAGACTAATATTACTCCAAAAACTGGTATGCCGGTTCTTTTTTCGAACAGATTCTATTCTTTCATATAGGATGGCTCCACAGATCAAACATCACATTACTTGTCAGTTTGAACGTTTTTTTATTTCAAAACGATACATTAATGTTTCAGATTAAATGCTGAAGATGACATCATAACAGTTTTGATAAATGAACAGCAAATAAAGTACTTAAAGAATTATATATGATGGAGTGAGTTGGATAAGATAAGAAATTTATATGCAATTGTGTGTAGGTATCCAATTAAATATGCGATGAGTGTTAATGTTAGTACAAAATGTATTTTATAATCAGAGGCTTTTCTGAACTAAATAAAGACTAATAGTTTTAGGCGTGTGTAATTATGTATTTAGAAATAAAACAATCTATTCTTTGTACTTTTATTGAGTTCCAATCAGAAATGTTTTAGAACAATTACTTATACTTACTGTATATCTTAAAGTACAGCAACTTTGTACCTATCTTTATATGGGAATTATGACTTTATTCGCGTTGAATAGCCATGGGGAAAGTTAACCCTGTTTTTGGTTGTATTTGTCAAAATACACCTTAGGTGCTCGACTATTCTACTTAAATTAATCATCACAGTCTAATGTAAACCTATGATTTGTTACATTTGTACAAATGTTAGAATTAACAGGCATTCCGAGATTCACGTAAATTTACGTAAAATAATGAAAGTAATAACATAAGAAGTTCCTCTTAGTTTTTCATAAACATCTATTTGAAAAAATATTAACAATAACACACTAGGGTTACTAAAGGCCACTCATATGTAACAGCTCCTTACTACAAAATGAATTATGATAATTTTTTTCAATAAAAATATCAAAATTATTTATGTACCCAAGAGGATACACAACTGCCATTTCTTTTATAACAATGAGTGGTCTTTGAGTATTACACCTTTTCAAACTTTAAATTTTGAGCATTAAGCTCGAGTATAAACATCAAATGAGCAACATAACATCACATAAAGTTACTGTAATAGAGTAAGAAAAACTTAAATTACTTAACGAAAATATAAGTACAACAAATGGTTTCAGAATAATTATGGTAGGTTGGTGTGAACTTAATAATAGCTTAAATTAACAATACTTGTCACAATTTGTTGCAGTCTTTAATATGTTTCACTTTATGCACTTATTTTAGAGCCCACCTTGGATGTAAACACTGAGAATTCAAAATAGCTAAATACTTCTTTATTGTAATTACAGTTTTAGAAAATAAAATAAAAAGAACACTTCAATTCACTGGGTTAACAAGAGACACCAGTTTTGTAAACATTAATCGGTGTACTCAAGCATTAAAGACCCAATCACTAATTACCACTCTTCATCTGGCTCCTGGCCAGGTTCAGCTGCAACGGCATTGTTGAAGTTCTGAAAATACAAATAATGTAAACTGTAATGCAGATATGATTAGTTAATACATTTGCATAACTTTCGAATAAAGATTTGTAAAGCAAATTAGCCCGGGGCCCCCCCCCCCCCCGGGGGGGGGGGGGGGGGGGGGGGGAAAAAGGGGGGGGGGGGGGGGGGGGGGGGGGGGGGGGGGGGGGGGGGGGGGGGGGGGGGGGGGGGGGGGGGGGGGGGGGGGGGGGGGGGGGGGGGGGGGGCGGGGGGGGCCCCCCGGGGGGGGGGGGGGGGGGGGGGGGGGGGGAAAAAAAAAAAACCCCCAAAAAAAAAAAAAAGAAGAAAAAAAAAAAAAAAAAAAAAAAAAATTTTTTTTTTTGGGGGGGGGGTGCGGCCCCCCCCCCCCCGGGGGGGGGGGGGGGGGGGGGGGGGGAAGAAAAAAAGGGGAAAAGGGGGGGGGGGGGGGGGCCCCCCCCCGCCGTTGTGGGGGGAAAAAAAACCCCCCGCGCGACCCCCACTTCCCCCGTGAAAAAAGAGAGGGGGGAAAAAAACACCCAAACCGGCGCCCGCCAACCCCCCCCCTTTTTTCCCCCCGCCGCCGCCCGCGGGCGGTCGCATAGGTGCGCAAAAGGCGTGAAAAGTTAATTTTAGACATTGTTATAAGGATATTTATTGTTTACGAAACATTCATTCATTCTAATAATAATAATGTGTCCAATGGCTAACTTTAGTTCCTTATAGGGTGACGTCTGTCTTTTTTTGCATATATGTAAATATAGATATATTATAAATAAATTGTATATTTTGATTATCATATAAGCCTCTAATTACAAAATATTTTATCATACATCTGTAGTATAGGAATTAAGTTATTAATGCAAAAATACTAATCATGCTGCAAATTATGAGGCAACAAGAATGAAAATTAAAATAAGTTCAAACTAAAGGGTTTTGTAGTTATTTATATGTACCTCCCGATCAACCGTCCTCTGTCGTTTGCAAAGGAAAGTAAGATAAGTATTAAAATATGTTTACAATTATTTCTTTAAATCTACATATGTTTCAATCTAGTTAAAATTCCTTAATGATCCAAGATAAAAATATTTAAGACTTACTCTGATGTCACTGCCTCCATACTTGTTACTCCTGTATGTGGCAGTGCCGCCGCCTCCTTGAAGGAAATCTGGTACCACTTGGTCCGCCTTGACGAAGAATTTTGGCTAAGTCAGCAGCCAGAGCTGAATCCTGAAAATAAATAATAATGTTAACATCTCCTAAGAAATAAGAAGTTTTCACAGAGTAACTTATTTAAAATATTCTCATTCATTGAAATTGTTTAATCATATATGTAATCTTGCTGCTTATTAAGATAAAATTGATAAGTAATACCTGTTCAGAGTCATAGAAAGAGACAGCCATCCCTCGATTACCAACTCGCCCAGTTCGCCCGATACGGTGAACATACTCGTCAATACTCTTTGGCAGGTCATAGTTAACAACTATATCAACGTTCTTTATATCTGAATTGAAGATTTATTTATTTAAATATGTTAGACATAATAGGGTTATTTATTTATATGGTGAGTTTTCTTTAATGTCATTGCTATATTAATAATATTATAATTAGTAAATTATATTATTAAAATATAAATAAGCGATACGTTTCCTCGCAAATATTGTTAGAACAAACCTAGTCCCCTAGCCGCGACAGCGGTAGCAACAAGTATGACGTGGCGCCCTCTCTTGAAGTTATCGAGAGCTTCTTCTCTTTCGCGTTGAAGTCGGTCTCCATGAATAGATGTGGTTAGCATCTGTTGCTCAGATAGTAACGAAGCTATGAAGTCTGCGTTACGTTTGGTCTCCACGAAAACCAACACGCGTTTATTAACTGAAATTTTTTGTAGAGTACTGAATACATATACCTATTAATGGCCGGTTAAAACTACATCACTTAGTATATATATTATACACTTGTATACATACTAAGAGAAGCTTTGGAACTACTCAAGAAACGGAAAATTATTTAAGTATGAAAATGCCAAAGTGTCATAGGCCCATTTTATCGCAAAGTCGCACAAGCAAAGGCGTGTACTTAATAATAAATAAATAAATAATGATTTAACACAATTATGTTTTCATACCATTCTCTGAAACCAGTTCTTGCAATTTAGTCTTTTTCTCATATTTGGAGACCTCATAGAAGATTTGTTCGACGTCCGCGCTGGCCCCGCCCACAATACCGACCGCCACAAATAGATAGTTGTTGAGGAAACGGCCAGCCAAGTGCTGGATATCTTCAGGGAACGTTGCCGAAAACATCAGAGTTTGACGATCAGTCTGAAAAAGATACGAATTTTGATACATTTAATATCTTAATGAGTACGTATTGTTTTTCAAAGGCGGCCAATAATCTTATAGAAACAAATGTTATTGGTATAATATGTTACAAATGTAACAATTTTAAAAATATTTTTCTTTTTTTGGACGTTTAGTCGTCAAACCGTATCAGATAAACATAACATATTTTATACATAATACAAGAATAAAACAGTAAATATTAAGAGTAGTTACAGTTTTAGAAGAAACATGATTTTTCAGAATAAATAATAAGGCTTAATTATTTGCATCCATATAAGATTTGGTAATTTTTAAAATGTATTTAAGGAATTTAACACAAAATAATTGATAATGAATCACTTACACCTTGCACCATAGTGGGATGCTGCATCATTTTCTCAATAGAAGGTATAAAACCCATATCAAGCATTCGGTCAGCCTCATCCAGCACAATGAAGCGTATGCTATCGAACGAGATGCGATTTCGGTCTACAAAGTCGTGTAATCGCCCTGGAGTGGCTACCAGAATATGACAACCTCTCTGTAAGGTAAAAATTTTCAAGGTTATACTTTTCGAAAACCCTCTGTACCACGAATTTGTTTATTTATAGCCATATATCAGAAATACAAAATATATACATTATAGTTATTATTCATCTAAATCTACGATAACCAATTCTGTGTGCCTACAGGTAGAGACCTCCCCCATTGTCCTCCATTTTTTCTTATTGTATACCAATTTCGTCCAGATCTTTCAAGCTATTTCAATGATATCATCGGCCCACCTTGTAAATTGCCAACCTCTGTTTCTTTTATGGCCCCTTGGTTGCCGTGGTGTTACATTTTTGCTTTTGTTCCTCTTATGGTATAACAAATAATACATAAAATATAGTAATAACATTTTATTCGGAAAACTTATGCAGCATTATCTGGGCGCATTTAAAAAAAAGCCAGAATATTGTTTGTTTCACTTGCATGTGAGAGAAAATGATTCCGATATCGTAGAAGAGCTATTAGAAACTGACGATAGCAACAACATGAAGTATCCAATTGGTAAAAAGAACTGTTTTGAAATTTCTTTTGTTAACATGCAAACATGTTTTTAGTGTCTGACGAATCATTATGTAAATACATTTTTTTTCTTCCAAACTCTGGCATATAATGAAATTCAAATAACTTTTAATGTGACACATATTACTCAGCATAAAAAAAGAGATCGTGTACTTATGTACGCGCGTAAGTTATACTTCTTTGGCTTTATTTTTTTTATATATTAAATAATTAATAATAAATATTTAACGTTAATAATTTAATAATATTTAATATTTAGTACATATATTATTCAATTGTTAATTAATATTAATAATTATAATTATTATTATTTATTATGTTATTCCTTCAATTTAATAACTAGGTATATATCATAACCTTTTAACTAAGTAACAATAGGTCTTTGTGAAAAAGTATTTAAAAAAATAATTAAAACTCCTTTATTTGTATAAAGGTACTACAAAAGTCATTATGGTCCTTCTGATAATTTTGTGTCACGGTGCGCGCGCATCGTAAAATTTCACTCTCATCAATTTTTCATAACGCGCCTAAAGAAGTATAACTTCAATAACAAATTTAATTGCCTTAAGTTTTAATATTAAAAAAAAAAATACTTAAACTAATTAATTTAAAAATACTTACCGAGATCTGGTCGCTCTGATGGCGAACAGCGGTGCCGCCGTACGCAGTAGCCACCTTCAGTACGGTCCCGAACGCAAACTTCCTAGCCTCATTGAATATTTGCAAGGTCAACTCTCGGGTGGGGGAAACTATGATCACCTGCAAAATTACAAAATTTTTATGTTATATTACATGAAAAAGTCATAATATTTTTACTTCTGTGTACACTTCTGTGCACGCGTGTGACTCAACTGGGATAAGATCAAGACATTCAATAGTTTTTTAGTTAGAAATTATATTTATACAAATTACTAGTCTGGTACTAATAATTTCATGAAATGAAATGTAAATTTTCTATTATTTCTAAAGTTATGTATTTTTTTACTCAAACTTTTGAGGTTTTTAAGGTTTTCCTCCACATAATTAGCCTTAAATAATTTTATTTTACTCATATTACTTAATCATTGTATAAAAATAATAACAAACCTGTGGCTGAGCGCAACCATTTTCTCCTACAATTAGTTCCCGACTGTCTTGTAGCAATGTGTTGATGATGGGAACGAGAAACGCCGCCTGAAAGTCATACCATATGAGAGACTTTTTAATTATGAATAAAAAATAGTACTGTTATAGGTAGTTTTCATCCCATAACATTTGTTGCATAATATTTATAGATATAACTTATATAATAATTTGCTTAAAACATATAATTTGAGAGACAGGAATAAGTAGTAAAAAAATTGTTATATTTATGAAAATAAATTAAAAATAAAGTATATACCAATTTATTCCGCGAGTTATGTAACCTAAAATTAGTTAAGTTAGAAGCGCAAACAAAATGTGTTAAACAATCATCGGACACTTGAAGCCAATATGAGCCCTTAAGTTTTTACCACACTCATAAATTGTAATTTAAAATGTCCAATAACATAAGTGTCACTTAGATTTATAAACTCTTGAATAAGTCAAGTTAGTTTTTGTTAATCCGGCGTCGCAACCCCACTACCCCTAATGTTATCTTAGTTATAAGCTCATGTTTTAAACAATTAAAGGCAGTTATATACTACTAGCTGACCCGGCAAACGTTGTTTTGCCACGTATAATATTTCTAGGCAACATGTGCAATAAAATAACTATCTAGTATAATAAAAATTAGGGGTGAAAATTAAGGGTTGTATGAATTGTAGTATGCTGTATCATAAAAAATAAAAACAAAAAAAAAATTGTCTAAAAAATAAAAATTTAGGGGTGGGACAAAATGTTAAGGGACTACGCTTAACATTTAGGGGGATGAAAAATAGATAGTAGCCGATTCTCAGACTTACTGAATATGCATAGAAAACTTCATTAGAATCGGTCGAGCCGTTTCGGAGAAGTATGGGAACGAACATTGTGACACGAGAATTTTATATATTAGATTACAACAAAGTGTTTCATTTAACATATATCTGAACATACAACAACTGCCACCGAACTTAACTCGCGTTTTATTAAAAATACAGGTTAAATTAAATTTAACTCCAGATAAGACATTACAATCAGTAATTTTTGCAAAAAGTTTATTGAAAATATCAAGTTGACGGCAATAGATGGCGCTGCGACAACTTTTCAATAGACTACTATGATAATGTAAAAAATCGTGTTTATTTTAAACAGTTTTATTGAAAATGTAGTACTGGCGTAAAACAAAGACACACAAAATATTACTTACAGTCTTCCCTGATCCCGTTTGTGCGCATCCCATCAAGTCCCGGCCATTCATGATGATTGGTATGGCGTGTTTCTGTATTGGCGTGGGCTTTTTATATCCAGATTTTAATACATTTTCCACAACGAATTTCCTAAGGTTAGCTCTTTCGAAGCTATCGATTGCTTGGGGCGGATTCTCGCCGGTAACCTGTTGAATAAAAAGATATTATTTCAATCATTCATACTATGACTATGTTTTTATCAGAACAAATATAATATATATTTTATTGATAATAAAAGCTACATTATGTATATTATTGATATTTAGCAAGTAAATTAGTATATTTTTATAAAAAATAGACTATGGGAAATATGTTGAATAAAAAATTGCCTACTGATGATATTGTGGTGGAATTTTCAAAATGTGACTGTTACGTTTTACAAAAATTGAACAGTACCTTTACAGCAATATGATCGAATTTGCCAAAATTTATTCCTGAACTAATCGAACTGCCGAACATTTCGTCTTCATTCTCTGTGGGGTCTGGTGGTATGTAGGTTACAGGCTCAGGCTTCTTGACTTCTCCATCACCTTCAGTTGGAGAATCACCTCCGCCCATCCGTCCACCGCCGCGACTCCCACCTCTGCCCCTGCCACGCCCTCTTTCACCTCTCTCACCTCTGTCTTCTCTATCACCGTTGTAATTGCCTGCTATGAATCCCACACATCTCCACAGATACGAATTGTGGTAATAGATAGTGGAAATTAAGTTCATTGCCGTGTGCATAGGATGATAAAAAATGTAGGTACTCAGAACCCGCTTAAACTCTGTTGGCCTTTGTTAGACGAGTAAGCGATATAAATATGATAAAAACGAAAGTTCAACTTCGCGCCAATTCTTTGGCTGTCAGATCAATTGTTTTAATTTAAATGATAATAAGTAAAAAGTGACTTCATTAAAGCATTGAATATTAAAGCCAGTAAGGGCCGATTTCGAATTTTACACAAATAGTCAAGTCATGATAATTTTAATACGAGTACTCTAGAACGAGAACTTCTAGAGTGATAAATGAAATATTTATCAAACAGTTTTAAAGTTATCACACTTAACATATAACCCTTATCTGAAATTTCTCACGAAGCACTTAAAACACAAGTCGTTAAACATGATCCTCTATAGAATTTGTATTTCTTAACTGAGTAAGTTAAGAAATACAAATTCTCTCTAATTTAACCAGAGTTAAAAAAACTCTTGTTGAAATAAAAACCCTAAACAATTTTTCAAGTGTAGGGTAAACTACTGACATGTGAGTAAATAAATCTCAAACATATTGATTTATCTTTGGACTTTTTTAATATCAATATTTTTTTTTAAATTAATGATGCTCTTATAAAAAGCTTAGTTTAATAACTCAGATATTGCAAAAAAAAATTAAATATATTTTAAAAACAGTGCCTGTTTATGTTAAAGTATAATATATTTATAATGGTATGTCATTGTGAGGCGTGAAGCAAATAAATTTTAAGAAGTTATGATTTTTATTACAGGTCATAGAGTTAGATTTCTATTATATTATGGTAATTAAGTAGAAAATTAAAATAATTACCATCGCCATTTTCATAATCGCCTCGATCTCGGTTCCCGCCTCGTCCACCGCGCCCCCCGCGTCCTCCCCTCCCGCCGCGTCCACGCCGATCACCAAAGCCATTACTGTCTTTGGTAAAATCTAGTCAAACGAAATATAAATTTATATATAATTTTTACTTTATATATATAAAACAACGCCAAAGAAAAATATGCCGTGCAGAAAAGTTACTTAAAAGACATCCATATGGAAGATGGATATACTTTTTAAGATGAAATAAAGACTCACATCCTCCCTCTTGTTCATCTATAAAAGTTGTGAAGCCCCTGCCCATGGCTGACACACTATGGCCCTCATCCACATCATTGTTGTGGTTATATGCCGGTACAACTGGAGCTACCACCTAAAGAAAAAATTGTAATTTACCAATTTAACTATGTAATTGGTAGTAACACATCATCACAAAGTCTGAACAATCTGTAGGTATGATTTGATATTTAAGATGAACAGTGTAAAAATTTACACAAAAACCAGAAATTAATTTAAGTTTTTTTTGTATTTTAAATGTGAATGTTACTTTTATAGTTTCAAAAAGTTGAGGTGATAAAGCAAAAAATGTTTGGTCTGTAAAAAAAATCTACGAAACTTGGAAAGGGTTCTATCATTAATTAGTTTTAATAAAAAACCTTGAAACATTTAAATCTTAAATTCAAATACATATGGCATAAACTCGTTAGGGTCTGAAATTACAATGGGCGTTCCTCAAGGTTCAAATTGGGTCCATTCCTCTTTTTAGTATACATAAATGATTTACCCAATTAGTTCAGAATAAACCGAAGATGGTGTTATTTGAGATGACACATCATTGATTTTTAAAGTAGATGCGGTCACAAAATCTGACGAGTGAATAACTCTATTCTTGGGTCCAAAATTGGTTTACGGTAAACAATTTGGATGAATGATAAAAAACTAAATGTATTAGATTTAGTTGAATGTTAAAAGTAAGGAATGTGACATAATGTTGAATGAAGAAAAACTGGAATTTATTAATCAAGGTTTTCCTAGGCATACGCTAGACGAGAAGTTAAATGGGGACCTCATATCACATCTCTTGGGCGGGGCGGCTGAGCTCAGCCGTTTATGCGGTTAGAAAGATAAGATATTTAACCAATGTAGAAACTGGGTTTGGTCTATTTTAGTTACTTTCACAGCATAATGTCTTACGGCATTTTACTGTGGGGTCGGGCTGTGACATAGAATCCATTTTTATTTTGCAAAAGAGAGCGGTCAGAGCCATTTATAATCTACGTCGTTGGAATCTCTAGGGAACTATTTAAAAAGATTAATATTATGACAGTACCTTGCCAATTCATTTATGAAAATATTATGTATGTAAGAAAGAATCTACATCTTTTTAGTAAAATAAATGAAAGACATAATTTTAGTACTAGAAATAAAGATAAAATAGCTCAACCATCTTTCAGATTAGCCAAAGTTCAAAATTCATTTATGGGGTATGTGTGAAATGTTACAATAAAATACCTGTACATTTTAAAACTAAATGAACGAAAATTTAAATGTTTTATTAAAAGTACACTTTGTAAACAAGCATATTACAAATTAGATGATTATATTCAAGATAAGAATGCTTGGAAACAGCTGGTCTGCTCCATAGGACAATCCTATGATTGGCTCTATAGCCTGGACAAAATCAAATTGGTTGCTGAATTTTTGCTAAAAAAAAATATGTTAATTTTTGTTATTATTATTTTATTTTTTTAATTTATATAATGCTACAAATGTAATTATTTTTTTTGTATCTCACACACTGTTTTGTTGTGTTTTTTAATATTTTTATTACTCTTTAATGTTAATATTTAAGGTATATGTAAATATGTGAGGAAATGTATACTAACTTTTTTAGTATAGTAGTTTATTCTAAGAGTACATTGTCTTCACATATAATTATTTAACAAATGTAAAAAATATTGTAAACCTATTTTAAAAAGAGTAAGTGTGGAGTTTCTTCCATTTTCTCACAGAAACTACTTTTGAAGGGGCAACTAGAAATTTTATATTTTTTTTTATAAATTTTAGATGTTAAATATACTTTCACATATCTTGTGCTGGTTTAGTAATAGTACATACATTTTTAAAATTATAATATAGTAGTTAGTTTTTTATCAACATTAATATCCATCACAATATTAAAATATTGTAAACTCTAGTTAAACAATCACAATAATTTGAAACAAAATTATCTTATGAGATCACAGCAATGGTTTTAGATCAAATAATAAACCTTTGTGCAATGGTAGGTACCCCTAATACTGATAGCATACCTAATATTTGTAAGTGTATGCATATTTCACGTTATAATAACTCACCATATCACAAGAATCATCCCATTCATCATCCATTATCTGTAATAGAAATAAATCAAATAAGTAAATATGATAGAGAATGTACTCATATCAATGTTTTAAATATATTTATTATACGAATAAATCATGTATAACACAACACTAGAGGGTAAAAAGTTAAATAGAAAGTTTAAGATATTAAGATTAGTTATAATATAAGATTAGAATAATATTAATTAAACGGAGCTCTAACTTGTTCAAAAGATATCAAACAATGTCAGTGAAATGATTGTTGGTAGAAACAATTTATTAATAATAACTGTTGAGAAACTGAAAAAAGTTCGAAAGACCCGGCTTCTAATACACGTGCAGTTCTGACATAACTATCTCTCAATTATCCGAAAACTATGTATAACCTTATTGCAATACTTACATTCAGAGTTTTAAAAATGTAACTACAAATACTAGGTTTTATAAAAAACAATCTGTTGCCCCAGCGTGCAATATTTGAAAAAGAATGGCGACAGAAAAAAATTGATGTTCACAAATCGCAATTCGGAAGACAAAGGTAGTGTTACCATAAATTCTCTTTCACACTTTCCAATTGTATTATGATATACTCAGTGCCACATTCTTACAAAATTGATTTTTAAAAATCACGTTTATTATACTATGACGTAAAAATATAAAAGTATTTGAAGATAATAATTTATTTATTAACCTATTACCAAGGAAAACCATTACAAATATTTATTTACAGTATATTTTGGATAATAAAGTACACGAATTTATACTAAATACCATTCTATACAAACAATAGAATAAATTACTCGTTATGTGATTTTTTTCAGTTGAATCTAATTAGTCGGAATCATAATTATCTTATTATTAATTAAAGGACGTTTAGGTGAGTTGTTTACCCAAATTCTGGTAAATATATTGGTATGTCCTCCTTCATAGTTCGTTGTGACATTACAAATTTAATTTTACCTTACTTAATTGAAATTTGGATGTATACTAGGTTTATTTATTTTTATTAATTGAACTTATTTCTTTTCAGAATTTTAAATTGAATAATCACATATTTTTTGATATATATCTAATCGTTTATTTTATGAAGACAATAAACAAATGAAGACAGATATAAACTGTGGAATTATCACGGTGGCACAGAGTACCTTTGTATATATGAAAATTGGTGATCTTGTAGTCCGTAGTCTGTGTATTGGTGGCAGTGGCAAGTGGTGACCTTACTTAGTTTATAAATAAACATTTTTGATTTTAGTTATTTCATTGATTTATACATTACGTACATAACTTGTTACGCTTATTGCCAAAATGATTATCATTTGGACGAGATATTATTATATCATCGATATGGTGTACACATTTTTAATTTAAGCCTTATCAGTGGTGGCGTCTAATTTTTTTGTTGTTCAAGTATACAAAATAAACCATGGCTTCACACGAGACAGTCAAAGTTGCCGTAGTTGTCGATCCCGTGGCAAATCTTGTGCCATGTTCAAATTCTCTAACAGCTGAGGAACTTTGTATACTATTGTGCAAGAAATATGGGATACCTCCATTAACCCGTACCCTATTTGCATTACGGATTAAAGGCACGGACTACTTCCTCAAAGATAACAGCAAAGTTCTCTCCGGTTCAAGAGATTACGAACTTAGAATCAGGTTCAAGGTAGTGTGACATTGCTTAGATTATACTATTAACTTTAAATATATTTTCGGTTTTCTGTAGAATATTTTGAATTTATGTATATAACCTTTTATAATTGATGAAAATAATAAAATAAATTTAAATCAGTATTTTCCTTTTTTAAGGTTCCCCAACTGAGCCTTCTGATAACTATTGATATGACAACATATGATTATTATTTCCAACAAGCAAGAAATGATGTCAATGAGAATAAAATACCAGAGATTAAATATCCTGAACATAAACGGGAACTTCTTGGACTAGGTATAGCAGACATGTAAGTGGCAATTTTTTATTTGTCGTAAATTGTTAATTGATTGGATCTTTAAATAATTGTAAACAGATAAGCTTCAATTACAAGATAAGTTTACTAATGTAAAAATTTGATTGACCTCCCATTTTATTATTATATTTGTCTTTTAATATTAGTTTGACTTAACTGTTTTTTTATCAAGAATTATATGTAAGTGTTCTCCAAACTTAGAACTATTAGTAGTATGTATCATCTCCACCACAATAAACAATGATTTATTAGAAATTGAATTTAAATTAGTTGAAAAAAATGAAACTCGGTTGTGGATGTACACATAACATAATTCGCCTGTATACTGTTAATTATTTCTATATTCCATAATTCTCAAATCTTAAAATATCTATGTGATATTTATTTTACTTATTTTTCAGGATGCGTGTCATACTAGAAGACAATCTACAATTAAACGAAGTTGTTAGAAATTATAAGAAGTACATACCTAAAGTTGTTGTAAAGAGTCATGGGCCATTCCTAAAGAAGCATGCATATGATTGCTTACCAAAGTTGTGCTCTGCTGGTCATAGTGTGAAGTGAGCAAATTTTTAAGTTATTTTATATAGATGACAAATTGTTTGAGGAATATAGATGATAAAACCAATTTATTACATGTAATTTGATAAAGATTGAGTCAAATCACATAATCCCATGGCATAATCCAGTCATCTCTTATTTCACTTTTTTTATTCTAAACCAATAAAATTATGATTCCGAGAAATAATTTCTCCTAGTTATAAGTTACCATCAAAGTATAAATCTTAAATAAATTACTATAGATATCAGTCTTCCAGTCATCCAATTATATATACATGCACCTTCTGGGACTAAATGGTTAAACTTTTACAGCTATGTGAAAAATTTATATCTACAACAGTTATATGGACTTGCACCAAACTATTTAGCAGAGGAATATAAAGATGTGGTGTGGCAAAATGGAGCAGAAAGCACTCCTGTAAAAGTGGTGGTTGCCCCATTTCATCCACATCAACCTGGAATTCGGATCTACAATACACTGAAGCGAGATGTATGTAACTAGCGAACCTAAGAAAATATTATTTATGCTGCTTCTTATTGGCCTACTTAAATTACAGGCAATTCATGCTATTGAGGTTCTACACTTCATATAAACTCTTTTGCAGGCAACTAATTAAAAAAAGTAAAAAATCTTCTTATCTTTATTACTAAACACTTCTTATTGTTTGACAATGTACATCGGTTTTAAAGAATTTATAATATATTGCCCAAATTAACTTTATATAATCTCATTCGGTAATATTCTAATTATGAAATGAAATACAGACTTTTATTGGCATATTTTATTTACATACTTCTTTAAGAAAATTAAATTAAAGCATTATTCTCCTAACAAAACAATGCTTTAAAATATTTTTTTAATTATTTAAGTACAATGTGTCCCGACCAAGGAGGTTTCAATTCAATTTAAGTATACATAATCTGTGGTGATCTCTGGTTCCGAGCCAATAGACCAATAACAGACTTTTTCCATTTTACACCTGACATTAGAAACAGCTACGAAACTGACGAATAGTCTTTTGCCAGAAAAATCAAGAAAAGCGTACAACCAATGTTACCAAGACTTTATGACTTGGAAACCTATAGCCATGAGATTAAATAAAGTAGTGTATGCAACTGCATATAATTAGGTATTGAAACACTTGTGTAATCTTATTTTGAAAACTACACTCATGTTTTAATACCCTCTATTATATGACAGTTGCATAAACTACTAAAAATCGATCTTAAAATAAAATATAGATCGTAAATTTCGATTTTTATTGTTACAAAAGAGTTAATGTTTTATGTAAATATTATATATTTGCTTAATTCTGTCGTTAGCGAGCTTATTAATATGGCGATTTTATGTGAATATTGTATCAAATGAATCAAAATTGCAGTGGTTCCACGCATGCGCTATTGAAGAGTTGATATATCTGACGAGAAATGGTGACCATAGCTTGGAAGTGTCTCGACGAGGAACACCAGTTTTCCTTAAGTTCAAGTCTGAAGAACAGTTAACTTCGTTTATATCGATCTGTGATGGGTACTATAGGTAATTACAATGCAATTTTTTCAATCTATTTTATTAATTATTTTCCATGCCATTTCAAGTATTTCTGACACAGATATTTTAACTGCCAATGATTGCACAACCTCGAACGAGATGTGCATTGTGCATGCTTAACAGTTTTGTTATTCTTAGTACAATTCTTTCTTGTATATGTATTTTTAAAGGTCCTTCCACAGGGACCAAACTTTTAAACGCTGTGACGCTTGTAAAATTACCATTTATGTTTAACTAGCTGACCCGGCGAACTTCGTTCCGCCTAACATTCTAATGATATAGTGTTAACTTTAGATAAACTTAATTTAGGATTTTATTAAGGTATAATACATGTTATTATACCTTAATACAACTTTTTTGAAAATACAGAAATGTTTTATTCAAACTCAAACTCAAACTCAAAATATCTTTATTCAAGTAGGTAACCAAGTACACTTTTGAATCGTCAAGTTAAATTAATCGTAAATTTACATTTACTACCAGTTCGCAAGTCAAGGGCGTAGAGCGGGTAAGAAGAACTGGCAAGAAACTTTCCGCCACTCTTTTTAATCGCCAAGTATTGTCATACAAATTGTTTGAACTGGAGCAATTCAATCCCAAGGATTAGGATCATTTAAGTAGTCCTCAAATTTATAAAAAGCTTTGTTGATTAATTTTCGTTTAACGAGGGCTTTGAATTTATTTAGTGATAATTCTCTAATTTCGCTTGGGAGCTTGTTGTAAAAACGAATACAATTTCCATATAAGGAGTGGTTTATCTTTTGGAGCCTTTTATTTCGTTGGTATAAGAGGTTTGGATGCCAAAAACCGCCATATCGTTCACTTTCGTGACATATTTGCTGATATTTGATGGACTTTGACTTTCTTATTTCGTCAACAGATGGCACCACATGCTGTTTGCATTCGTAAAATTAATTTATTGTTATTCGATAACTTTCCGATATTTTATTACTTATTCTGCTATTCGGAGCGGAGAAGAATCCACCAAAAAAGAGATAACTAATCCGTCCAGCCGATCTTGAGTTATAAGTGGTGTAACTAACACGAATTTGTTTTATATATTAAGACTTAAAAATGTTGCATACGTTTTAAAGTTCCTCAATAATTTGATTTTAATATTGTTATAATAGGTTAATGGTGAAATGGACTTTTAATCTTTCTAAAGATGACGAAACACCATCTCTCAAGGAGTTGCATAGGATAAGATGTCACGGACCTGTCGGGTAAGAATATTCCTAATATAATAGAAATATTAAACATAAATAAGACAAATATTAAACAACGTACTGCCTTGCGATTCTGTAACTCACTTTTCTAAACAATAAACTTCTAGGTCCCTCCTTATATGAATGCCAAATCATAAAATGACTGCTTCACGACTGATTTGAGCGCGACCGCCGCTGCGAAAATCGCTGTGTGAGTTCGAAAAGTGAGTTACAGAATCGCAGGGCTGAAATGTTTTTTCGCCGGGAATCGAACCTAGGACTTCGGACCGCAACAAACAAGGCCGGCCTGAGTTTTGTTATACCATATTTTATGTCACGTCCCTCAGAAATAGGATCAAAAGTATCCTATGTCCGTCCCCTGGTTCTAAGGTACCTCCCCACCAAATTTCAGCCAGTCAGTTCAGCCGTTCTTGAGTTATAAATAGTATAACTAACACGACTTTCTTTATGTAGATAATAGTATTCCACCGATTCACCAACTGGTGGGCTTATACTTTTTTGAAGTGAAAACTTGTACGTAAGCGGTGTTGTACCCTTTTTTTGGAATGGATAAAAAAATGTTAAACTCGCGTCAGGACACGTGACCTGATCGAAAATTCGTCGTGCTTTTATACTGATAATTAAAGCAATTCGTGCAAAATTATTCCCTAACCATACCAAAATATCAAAAATGCACAACGTTAATATTCAAGTTTTCACTTCTGCCGGCACTCCCTGAGTGCAACCCGTCGTTTTTTTGTTACAGAGGTGCATTCTCGTATCGGAAATTGGAGGAAAAGCGAAGTAAGAAATATGGTTGTTTTATACTTCGACAATGTCAGGATGACTATAATATATATTACCTGGATGTCTGTACAAAAAATAGGTAATTTAATTTTTATTAATTTAATTTGGTTAGCTTTGGTGATTTTTGAGTTTTGCAGGAATAAAGCTTTCAATTGAAATAGTTTCCAAAAATCCAATAGTTCCTGGGTATTCAAGTGAACTATTAATTCCAATTTCAGTTTATAATCCTAATTTCTAGTATTTGAATCGTGCCATGACTGTGTTGAAAAAAATCTTTGTATAAAAATATGGGACGGCCAACTTGGCTGTCCTTTCTCCGAACATTTCTTATCTCTTCTTTCTTTAAATTTAGTTTTTCTTGGCATTAACTTTTTTGCTTTTCCTCATTTTCTTTTATAGTTTACTTTTTGCTCTGTTCTAACCGTTGAGTTATTATTTCGATGGGGTATTAGATGTAGCACATTGGAGTTTATATTAATCGACCCCCTAGACATTAAATGTTATCACTGAACACATTAAATGTTTACTATTTAACGCGAATTGCTACAACGCTCCGAACGTAGGACGCTAGCAACCCACTGTTTGCAGGCTAATCGGAGTTTCTCTTTAAATATGTAATTGCATAGTCACTCAGATCATTTTAATGTCAAGATCAATTTAATTAAACATATGCAAACTTTTTTTTATATAAACAAGGAATGTTACGTGTTATTAAATTCTTAAAGTGTGGTGACCGGTGTCCATAAAACAACATCAAGCTGAAATCGGGCGATAGAGCAGGTGGTACAGTGGTTAACTCCAGAAATTAATAAAAAAGTTATATGTCAGGTGTTTTATAAATTGCCATTAAAAAAGTTAATGACTTGTATGCAACCTGTGATGTTCCGGCTCACTCCACTCAAGAACTCCGGCTTTGTTGAAAAAAATACTATGAAATGTTGGCAAATAGCATATAAAAATAGCGTATTTAGCCAAAAGTTCAGAGAAACTCAAAAATAGTGCGTGGAGTGCCTCCCCGCGGAAGAAGTGAAACTTCGTCATGTGGAAATGAAAATAGGGAAGAAATTGATTTTTAATGAAATCATATTGCTTCAATCAAACTTCATTAACATTGCTTACATTTCACAATTGATGTGAATAGATAAGTACGTATTCCAGCTAATTTCACGACGCTCACACTGTTTACTTCGCTGCATAGCAAGAAGACCACGCGCATGTGCTTGGGATCTAAAGACTCACTCTCTTTCTCTCTCCTACATTCTACCTTTGTGTATCTTTCTTTCTCTCTCCTTGCGTTTCAATATTGGACGCTACTCGATGCTAACGCTCGCGCTGGCCTGTAACAGGTATACTACGTGCATGCGTGCGAGTGCCACGCATTCACTCTCGCTCGGTCTCTTTCTATTCCCCCTCGCCAGGAGCGTTGAATGTTTAACGCAACAGTGCTTTCGTACCCCCTCCATGGTAGCGTTAAACGTTCACTTCAAAAAAAATCTCGAGTTATTCACTATCTGCCCTATGACTTCGCTTGCAATGATTTATGAGAGACCTGTATAAGACGTCGATGAAGACCTGACTGTACTTATGTACGCGCGTAAGAAGTTATACTTCTTTGGCATTATTAAAATTAATTTTTGATTGCATGCAAATAATTAATTACAATAATCAAAGACTGGAAAGTTCAGTTTACATTTGAAAAATAAAATAAATAAATATTTATTATTATTCTCTTACATTAAGTGTAACATACATTCCATTATTATTCGAATGTTGTTTTTAAATTATGTCCAATGCCGTAGCATCTTCCGAGGGCAACTTCATTCTGTTAATTTTGTGTCACGGTACGCGCGCATCGTAAAATTTCACTCTCATCAATTTTTCATAACGCGCCTAACGAAGTATAACTTCAAAAACTGTTTTTATTAACTTTCAGCACAACAGAAACATATTTGCTTGACTTCAAAGGCGACGGCTATGTGTTTAATCAGGAAAAATATTTTAGTATCGAAAGGCTGATCAGTTGCCATCAGAACCCTGAAGGAAGGATATTTCTCAACGAATGTATACCACCTTCGGAATATGGTATTTATCTAAAGATCAGTTGCTTTCAGATAGAACATAAAAATAATCCTACTTTTAACCGACATAAAAAATCAGACTTACAAAAATATGAAATATTTATCTATTTAAAGTGTATTTTTTTAATTGTTATAAAATTGTGTTTCACTATTCACTTTAATCTTACTTAAATTAAGTTTTTGATATAAATCCTGAGTTCGAGAAGCAATAGTCGCAAATTAAGAATTAGAATTATGAATCACTCAAAAATGGCCTGCCCATTTAAGGATTACTAGAAATACAGATTATTAGAAGTTATTTAAAAAAATATATTTCAGATAAATCACAATTACTGCTGTGTGGAGAGCCTGTGAAGAAAGGAGTGAGGATCGACCAAGCCGAGTTACAAGATATTCTAAAAGATAACAAAAGTCCTAGATGCTTGCCAAACAAGGATATTTTATTATATACAGGTTTGTTTAGTGCAAAAAGTATTGTTTTCTAAAATAAAAAAGCCATGTGAATAATAGCAATCAAAATGTTAAGAAAAGTTTAACAATGTCAAAAAAAGAAGTGAATAATGATTTCAAGGAATATTGATTTCTGTATTTTATATATATCATTTAATCTATATAAGCAATAGATAGTAGAATATAAAACCATTGACTACATTTGGTCTTGGCTGTCTGTGCCTGACACAGGTGACTTTGGGCTGGGAGCGTTCAGGGGGGGGGGGTTATTTTGGGTCCTTTTGTAAAACGTTACGATGCGGGGCGAGGATTGAATTACGTTGCGTTATTGCTAATATTATTTTCGACTTTCCAGTACTTTACACCTCATAATGGTAACTTTTAGGTATAAAGAGTCACTATGTGGTCACGAAACGTTTTACTATATTTGGGTACAGAAAAACGTTACAGTGCGTGACAGGTGTGTCAATAATCTCTAAAAATTGCGTGACGTAATACTTGAACGCACGCTCCCTAAGGCACGGTTTCCTCACAATGTTATTCTTCTATATACGAGTGTGAAATGCGAACATAGAAAGAATGGAATGGTGGACCCGGGGTTTCAACGTACGACCTCAAATTTGTTAATAATGTTAAATAAAAATATTTTAATTTCAGGATCCGAGAAAGTTGGCTCCGAAAATATAACCGCTACATATAAAGCGCTCTGGAGACTCGACGAAACGAAGAAACTGCAAGTCGCCTTCAAAACATTGCAAAGAGATAGAGCCAATGATTATTTGAAGGTAAATTCAGTAATTTTATTAAATAAATATAAATTTAGTAGAAAATATCTTAAGAGTTTTTGATTGATAATTTATTTTAGCAGTTATCATGTGATATTTTGTGATTGCCATAATCATACGGTCTTTTGGTAGATGTTTTTTTTAAAACAAGAATGCGTTCTTATTTCTACCATGTACCAAATGAAACTTTGATAACTAAAGTTACGCGTCAAGCGGAGTCGGAGCGTACGGAGCGGAAAGATTTGTTGCTTTGTATTGATTTGAGCTGAGACGATGACGTCATTCAGCCGAATAATAAGAACGCATATCTTTCGCTTCCTCTTGTTTCCCTCTTCTTCTTCTGATAAAATACAGCTACTTACAACAATATCCTCGTCACTATCCTCCATAATGCAAATGCACGTTAACAGGCGATGACGGTTGCTTTAAAAATACCTCAAACTCACTCTCAAATTAACTTTATTCATATAGGTAAACAAATATACTTATGAACGTCAGAAAAGTTAAATTAATTTTAATTTACTACCAGTTCGCAAGTCAAGGGCGTAGAGCGGGCAAGATGAACTGGCAAGAAACTCTCCGCCACTCTTTTTAATCGCTAAGTTTTGAGTCAAACAAATTGTTTGCACTGGAACTAAATTACCGATGCTGAACCCGAATGCAGTGGACGCACCCCAGCATTTCGTAAATGACGCTCGGTTCGCAGCGTACGCTTCGATTTTGCTCCAGTGGACGCGATCAAAATTTCAACAATCAATCTTTAATACACTTATCGACAATGAACTCTTCACTGTTAATATAATTTGTCCTTTAGCACATTCAATTTTAATACTCTGTATAATTAAAATAATTTTCCCGACGAGAAATTATTGAATTTTTGTATAATTAGTTAGCTAAGTGTTTGGTGGTTAAGTGCTATGGGCAGTTCTTTTCGTGAGTAATAAACACCTGCTCATCCTGAGACACCGGTATGACACAAGCCAACAAAATAAATAAAAATGTGTGCGTGTACTAGGTGTACACACGTAGGAAGTGAAACTTCTTTATGACCTTATTAGAAACTATTTCTTTAAACACAGTAAATTTTGATACACTGCCTAGCATACAATTTACAAATTAATTGCTGCAAATTGCGATTAGCAAATTTCAAGTCGAAAATGTAATCCGTTGTCAAACTTCAAAGTTAAAAACATACTATATATCATATTTTAACGCCGATAAAGAAGTTTCACTTCAATTATCAATTCGTACGTAGAAATGCGTCCCAACGTGCGGTTTGGGACGCGTTAAAAAAATCTAGTGGTTTAAGAATCCTGTGTTGCCTCATCTATATCTGATTAATCATGTTATAAAATATTTTTTTCAGGATTTTGTCGAGTTGGCAAGTAAATGGGCGTGCGTACAGTCGAGCTCAATAGTTCGATTGTACGGTGTCACCTTGAGCTCTCCCACAGCGCTAGTTCTCGAGTACCTGCCCTTTGGACCTTTTGACGTCTATTTAAGGTATATTCTGGATAACTTGGTTTCCACTAAAGCATGCTTCCACAGCTGGCCATAGGCATGATTCCACACAAGCACTTCTTTATAGGGCAGGAGGTAAAATAGGACACCCAGCTACACCTTGAGGTTTGTTGTTTTGTTGTGAGGAAGTTCCTTGGAACTGGTCTGGCGCCTTTTTAATTTTCATGCCATTTTCACACGTGTATATCCATTTTCCAGCATATTTCCATACGTATTTAATTATCCTCATTTTGCCATGTGTGTTGTTTGGGAGTAAAAATAAAATAAATATTTAGCTTTTGGGTTCCGAACTTGCTCTTAGCAGTAAGATCTATTTCATCTGTCTACTTTTATTATTTATGGTTAATTATAGGGAAAACGAAGAAAGAGTTAAGCCGCTCCATCTCAAGAAGGTAGCGGCCGGCCTGGCGAGAGCTCTATGGGACTTATCGGAAGCTGGAGTTGTGCATGGTGATATTAGATGCAGACGATTGCTGCTTGCTTCTCATCAGGCTGACAGGATGCTTGTGAAGCTGTCTGGACCAACGCTGAGGCAGTATACGCCACAAGAGTTAGTATTTTATAGAATTTAATTTACTCACTACTATTGTTGACAGGGTTAACAGAAATGATAAAAAAAGGTAGTTTTTAGTGGCTTCAGCGTGCGACACTTATTATTGAGGGTGTAGGTTTGAACCCCGACTATGCACAATGTTTGCAGTTTTTGCCGCGCACCACCACTATGTGGAATCAGCTGCCCACTGAAGTATTTCCGAACCAATTCGACTTAGGGTCCTTCAAGAAAAGAGCGTACCAATTCTTAAAAGGCCGGCAACGCACTCGCGAGCCCTCTGGCATTGAGAGTGTCCATGGGCGGCGGTATCACTTAACATCAGGTGAGACTCCTGCCCGTTTGCCCCCCGTTCTATATAAAAAAAAATGTACTTTCTGTCTATGTGCGCATTTTAAATTTGCTCGTACGGAGAAGAAAAACATCGTGAGGAAATGCCTTAGGCCTAAAAAGTCAACGGTGTGTGTCAGGCACGGAAGGCTACTTGCCTAGGCAAAACAAATGATCACGAAACAGATACAGAAGAGACAAAGGTTGTAGCATCACTGATTGCCATTGGCATTATATTTTTAACTGACTACAAAAGCAGGAAATTATCAGTTTGACCTATTGCTGGAACTGTAAAATATTTGAGTATCTGTTTGGGCTTTCATGTGTGCTATTCGTAAATGTATGTTATTACGTTCACAAATATCGCAAATTTCTTCATCAAAATTGGTTGAGTAGTTTTTAAAAATGAATGTTACGCATTCATGGAGGGACATGTATAATGTAATACAGACATATTAAGAATAATTTAAGTTCCGTTCAGTATTTATTTCCATATAAAAGATGTATGGTATGATGCTTGAAACTGGCAAATAAATATTTTACCCATGTACTCTAGAAGAAAAATTGCTAACAATTTTGCACGTTAATATGGCGCGTACCCCCCAAATTTAAAATAGCGTCTTTACTCAGAAGGTGCTTAGTTTTAATCTGGTAATTTTAGTGTTCATTGGATTCCTGTGGACTTCTTTGCTGACATGGCCCTGGCAAAGAGGTCGGTTGCGGGCGATATTTGGGCCTTCGCGACCACTCTTTGGGAAGTGTTTTCATATGGACAATCGCCAACTCATACTAATCCTGTTTTAACTTCGAGGGTGAGTTGTTTTAATAAGTATTATAATAAGAAAAAGAGCAGAATTTCGGCATGTATTTTTAGTGGGAAAACCTGATGTCGACTCCTGCGCACCCAATGAGTCTGGCCAACAAATTTCCGGGTTTTATAAATTCTAGGGCCCGTATGTTGTTTGAAGTCTAGTCACTAGTGTCCTAAAAATGTAATCATATAATAGGGTAGTGCTAAAGCATAAATCTTTCAAGAAAAGAGCGTGCCAAATCTTAAAAAACCGGTAACGCATTCATGAGCTCTCTGGCATTGAGAGGGTCCGTGAGCGGCAGTATCAAATGAGTCTCCTGACCGTTTGCCCCTTGTTGTTTGCACTCTCTCAAACATACTCAATTACGTAAACTTGTAAAGTTGCTAAATTGTGAAGAAATAAATAAACTTTATTACTTTTTTTAATTATCTATGTCACTATGGACGTCGAGTTATGTAAATGATGTAATGTTAAGAAAGTTTTATTTTCCTTTATATTTTCGGAAGTAGTACATAACCGGAAACACGGAGCATATTTTACGCAGTAAATATACGGCCTAATTATAAAACATGGACTATACATGTCCATGGAATTTGTTATCATAGTCACCATTGTTGTTACACAAAATATGATCTGCGTTTTGTAATAATGCAGTTTGAATTCAGAAAGTTCGGGCAACAGAGTTTTAGTTGAAAAATTGCCTTAAAATTTAAACGTTTACTGAATTTTAGAGTTACGAAATGGGCGACCGGTTACTCCGTCCGGCGAGGTGTCCCAGCGAAGTGTGGGCATTGATGAGGCAATGTTGGCAAAGTGAGCCTCTGAGGCCGCAAGAGATCATGCGAGATATGAATCATATGCTGCACAGAGGTAAATATTTAAATTATATAATTAACAGCGTATTAGTTAAAATATGCTTTATCTGTAAAAAGTGAAGTGTAATTTTGTTTGTTTGTCTAATATTAAACCTCATTCGAGTTTTTTGAAGTCGGTTTTTGATTAAAAATATTTATCCGAAATAGATACAGAAATCTGGACCCAGACCTAAAAGGTTGTAGAGTTTTGAAGTTATACTTCTTTAGGCGCGTTATGAAAAATTGATGAGAGTGAAATTTTACGGCGCGCGCACACCGTGACACAAAATTAACAGAATGAAGTTGCCCACGGAAGATGCTACGGCATTGGACATAATATAAAAACAACATTCGAATAATAATAGAATTTATGTTACACTTAATGTAAGAGAATAATAATAAATATTTATTTATTTAATTTTTCAAATGTCAACTGAACTTTATTGACTATAATGACTCTTTTTCCAGTCTTTGATTATTTAATTGTAATTAATTATTTGCATGCAATCAAAAACTATTTTTAATAATGCCAAAGAAGTATAACTTCTTACGCGCGTACATAATACACGCACCCTTTTTTATCATATTTGATTAAAATGTCGCTTTTATTAATACTTTGGTGAGAGTCGTCAATTACTTGCATCAACTATTAGTTTTTGATCATGTCCTAGACATACATAGTGTATACAGCACTGGTGTCGCAAGATTTGGAAAAGATAAGAAGTAGTAAGGAATGCTTTAATTTCAAAACATTTCCAAAATAATCTTAAGAAAAGTGACAGGATATCATCAATCTAAAATCTACAATACGAAAGCGAACTATTAATGTTCGTACCCTTTTTAGCTCCAGCTTCGGCCATGGAGCGCTGCACAAGATTTCCATAGAAAAATTCCTATTACTTTACCTTTTATGACATATTTTTTTGCAGAATACGTACCTATACACGAATATGAAGAGCCAAAGATTTCACTCGACCATCTAGAACATCACGATACGGTTTCAAGTAAGTTAACCGACCATAGACAAACACACATGATGTTGTATTTTGATAAAGTAAAAATAAATCTCTGTGTAGTTCACATTATGTGTATATTAAAAATATTAATATTGTACATATTATATTTGATTGTCTAAACAAAATTAAATGAAATATTTATGGATGCCTAAAACTAATTTACTACTAAATTATTTGATAACTGAAATACCTAAACACACATACTAAACTCACAGAGAGACATTATAAAAACAGAAAAAAATAGGGACTAAAATAAAAAATATTAAATCACAAGAATTATTAAATCAAAAGAACAAAATACATTGACAATAAAAAATATAATAATTCTGTATTATAGACACAAACAATTTAGATGCAGTATCCATACTTACAAAACAAAACCCGGAAAAAAAAAAAAAAATCCCCAAAAAAAAAAGAAAAAACCCCCCAAAAAAAAAAAAAAAAAAAAAAAAAAAATTTTTTCCCCCCCCCCCCCCCCAAAAAAAAAAAAAAGGGGGGGGGGGGGGGGGGGGGGGGGGGGCCCCCCCCCAGGAAGGGGGGGCACAAAAAAAAAAACCCGGGAAAATTCCGGTATAATGCACGAAAATTGTGGTGTATTAAGATGGAGAGAATTTCTCGTCTCGAAGGTACGATTATTTTCGAAGGAATATAAAAAAGTTTCTTCGTCTAAACATTCACTCCAATTGCTCTTCCGCTTTGGCGACAATTGCCTCGCAATAGAAAATTTATTGTGTCCATGTAAACAGAATTTCAAATGCAATAATCGTATTTCGAGGTTTTGTGCCAGTTGCTACCATGAGTGCAGTGCGTGATGGTGTTTTAATTATTATGTACAAGAATAAATTAAATGGAAACCGAAAAAAAATTTTGGGTTAAAAATGGGTTTTTATAATTTTCTTTTTCCGTGTTCCACAAACACTCGTAAATTTTATAAAGTTCAATTAACTTAATATTGTATCGGCAGCCCCAAAATTTAAAGGGTTTTTGTGTAATTTTTGACAACAATCACTAAACTTGAATGAAACACCTCGCACTCAAAACGGTTCAAACCGATTTGTACGATACTCGCATGCACTCAAAACGGTTCAAACCGATTTTGATACGATAATGCTATGGCGATTATTGCTGGTGATAGTCGCGTACGATTTCCACCAAAACGTGTGAGAAACTCCCTCCATCTAAATGGGCCTTTAGTCTCATTTTTACTAATCTCGTGTATAATAAAATAAGATATTGCTTTGAAATCTTCGGTTATAAATATAAATATTTTTTACAGGTGACAGATTTATTCCTAGTGAGTTGAGCGATGCGGGCAGCAATAAGTCCTTGTTGTCCGTGGAAAGTAGTGTTAATTCTATTAACGGAATGTCCGATCACTACGATAATATGGTGAGGACATATTTAAGGAAAAAATATTTTAATCTGACTCCACAGGATTTTTAAACTTTTTATTCTACATTTAAATGTAATGCAAAGGACAAGATTTTTTTATATTTAGACAGATTTAGTCATCAGCAGTTAATTTTTAAAGATAATAGAAATTTATATAAATATATACAGAATTTAAGCATGTTAACACTTGTTAGTGTTAGTGCACGTCAGTACTAAATACACAGTGAGTGAAAGAAAAAAATAGAACACAAGAACAGAGTGTCTTGCCTTTAATAGAGACTGTAAGTAGTGTTCTTGGACACTTTCTTATGTAAAAATTAATAGAAATTAGGTTAGACTTAAATTACTTATTAGTGTTAAGTTAGGCTAGATTGTAATGTTCCATGATGTCTTAGTAAAGACACATGTATTAAAAAAAATGTTAACACTTTTTTTTTATTCCTTTATTTTACAAAATAATATAATACAATCATAATATGTTACATTAGTAAACCGCTGTGGTTTGTTTAAATGTAACCATAGCAGTCTTGTTTAGGAGCGCGACAAATGCATATAAAAGTAGTTTTTATATTTACTTTTTATGTTGGTTGGCGTTAGGCAATCTAAAATCTGATTGGGTAGACCATTTATTAGCCGCGGTAGCAAATACCTCAACGTTCTCTCGCCGTATACGTTGTTTGCCCTCGATGTACAGAACTTGCGTTACCGCTCGGGTCTGTACGTCATGCTCCACTCGTTTTTTTATGTCATCTCGAAAAAAGTGCTCGACTAGAAGAGATTTATTAACTTTTTCTGATATGGATAATATAAATTATATATTAACTTAAAATATCTTTTAAAAATTATTAAATTGAATTTAAAACAACAGATCTGATTTTTTTGTTATTTTTTTGAACTCACAATAACGTTAAATCTTCACTACTATAAAATAAAATCTTTCTTACAGTTCGGAGACAACAAAAGCGCGAACTCGTTTGAGCATAACTTAAACGCGATGGCGTACGCGTTACGCAACGAGACGTTATCGTGCGGGCGTAGTAGCCGTAGCAGCGTGCTCGGTTTGGGACTTGGGTTAGAGACCGCAGACGAGTTTGCCTGCTCGGCTCCACGGCTCATGGAATCCATTGTATCTCAGGGAAAGACCTACCTCGTGACTATTACTAAGAAGATTGGCAGTGTAAGTATATACAGTACTAGCTGACTCGGCCAAGCGTTGCTGTGGCTAAGGTTTTTGTTATATTACATACTAAACTATTCAAGAGAAGCGGTAGAAGAACACCAGTCATGGGGATCACCATGCTTTTTGGTGGCTATGGCATTAAATTGTAGCTTATGTGAAACGTTGGTACTTTCAACACAGCGCCATCTGTTAGAACTGTGACTCAACATAAACAAATAATTTGCAATAAAATAATATTGCGGGTATAAATTAAGGTGTAAGCTATCCTATCTTTTAAGTTGGATCAAACTGCACACGGTGTGCAAATTTAAATCGGTTAAGTAGTTTAGGAGTCTATCGCGGACAAACAACTTGACACGTGATTTATATATATATGTATATATATACACATTATTTGTTTGGATAATAGACAATAAACTGAATTTGTACAGATAAGAAATTTACGACAAAGTTCAATTTACCTGCTCTACTGTCTCTTACATATAGAGAGTATAATAGTTATATTATAATAATTGATTTTGTTATTTTCCGTGTGAACGAGAATATATCAAAATATAGATCAGGTAGCGATTGCAATAATGTAAATATTTGGTCTCTCTGTATGATTAGAATCATTGTTAAAATACGCGTTCGTTCATTTATACTATGACATATCTTAGGAATAATTTGTTGTAATTTATGTGTAATAAGTTTAAATCGTTAGGTTAAAATTCCTAATAGACCATAAGCCCATGAACAAAATATACCTGTCAAATGAACCAACGTGAATAACGCTTAGAAGGCTGTTACTATATCAGAAAATAACTCTGAGCACTATGCCGTCATTTCTGAGCGGTACATGTGAGTACGTGAGTGAATGGAAGTTCTCAGGTACAAATGAGGAATTTCGACTAATTATTAATGTACGGCTTTGTTATAGCGTAATTCACGTTGGTTCATTTCACAGGTATTTTTTGTTCATGGGCTTGTGGTGTATAAGTGGAAATAATGGAACCACTAAAAAACCTTTATTAATTTAATAAAATATTGTAGGGAAATTATGGGCACGTCTTCAAAGGGTGGATGGAGCGCGATAATCAAGAATCTCAAAGGATGGAAGTGGCCGTTAAAAAGTTAACAAGACAAGAGTCTGAGAGAAATGGTAGTTTGTATGAAGATTTCAAAAATGAATTAGAAATTATGAAGGTAAGAATAACATATTATTCCCCAGATAAACACAGAAGGCATAATAGGAAGCTGAGACATGCACTTAATTTGTCACGTGACCCATTTCATAGACCAAACTTAATTGTGTCAAAAATTCTATCATATGTTACTTTCTAACATTACTTCTTGTTTATTCAACTTGAAATTTTTTTTTAAATTATATGCTAACAATTTTTTGAATCAAAATGACTTCATCGCTTTTTATGTGATAAATAATACAGCAACCATATTTTGCCTTGCTTAACTTTATATTTAAATTTTAATTTATTGTATGTCTTTATATTTTCTTTGGTCTAGGCTAGTACTAAATAATTTACAAACCAGAACATCAAATATAACTATTTACTCTTTCAGTCGCTACAACATATAAATATAGTGGAAATCCTCGGATATTCGTGGGACCATGGGTCAGATGTTCTAATAGTGATGGAGTACCTTGAGGAGGGTTCACTCAACTACTACCTCAAGTTCCAAGGCGATAAATTGCGGCTCTCGCACCTGCTCAAGTATTGCAAGGATATTGCTACTGTAAGTTAATTTATATGAGTAATCATTGTATAATCTTTACTGATTTTTATGTAAGGGGCCATCCATAAAGTACGTCACACGGTAATGGGGAGGGAGGGTATCACCGAAGTGTGACATCGTGTGACAAGGGGCATGGGGGGGGTCAATACTTTTGTGACGTCACATGTTAAAATTTAAAATACTAAAACGCAAAGTTTGGATGTGAATTAAATATTTACGAACTTGATCTATATTTATTAATAATTTAGCATTCTCGCTATGCGATAATCTCTCATGCAACGGCATTTAACTTCTAGAGCGGCGTTGTAATGCAAGTGAGACACTCAAATTCACGAGAATTTTGAATGGTAAGAATTTAAATAGGTTTAAGTCGTCGGCGAGTGCTCGCTCGCTTTTCTATCGTTCCGCACGTCGGTTGTTTGCGAGACCTTCGACAAGTGCTACCTCACGCGCTGGCGCAGTAAAAAATGTGTGACGTCACATCAGGAGGGGGGGTTATAAACCTGTGACAAGGACGGGGGGGTTCAAAAGTCCTAAAATTCGTGTGACGTACTTTATGGATGGCCCCTAATCTGTTGAATTATTAAAATTTAAAACGGGATTGTAAAGCTTCAAATAACAATTATTATTTATTGTTGTTAGTTTTACAACCCTGCGGCATTGTTTCTGTTAAAAAAAAAACGACGGGTTGCACTCCGGGAGTGCCGGCTGAAGTGAAAACTTGAATATTAACGTTGTGCATTTTTGATTTTTTGGAATGGTTAGGGAATAATTTAGCACGAATTGCTTTAATTATCAAATATATAATAAGAAAATTTTAAGTTGCCATTTTTTATTCGCGTCAGTCTGACCAAATCGTTAATAATAAAGCTTTTGACGTTTCGCAAAATTAAAGCTTGATGTATTGACTTAAGGTCCAATTCCACATGCATCAATGTATCTGAGGAATGAGACAAATGAATTAAAACCGTAACTATATAGCGCGAAGGTTCATAATCGTTTAAAAAAAACATCCGTCTTACGAATTTGTCCTGACGCGAGTTTAAATTTTTTTACCCATTCCAAAAAAAGTGTACAACGCCGCTAAAGAAGTTTTCACTTCAAAAAGAAGTCTCCAATACTTTCTAAAACCAGAAAAATATTTTTGGCCTGGGAAGATATTATACAAGCTCATTTATAGATTAAAAGATGAGCCACGTTCTCAGCACAGCCTACTACTCATTTTGTGATTAAATTTATTATATTAAGCATTATTTCGATAACAGATATGGCGCTAGGCATCATAAGCTACTACATAAACTAAAAAAAAAACGTGTGTGTATTTATACCCATACCTGAATCACTGTTCCTCTATTTCATGCGGAATGATTCCGGTATGAATTAATGTAAACATACTAACAATTAGATTTAAGCTGCTTATATGGTATATAGCTATGGTATTAAGCTGTAATTTACTAACATTGTTATGGAACCTTGTTTTCTGAATTAAACAATTAAATTAAAATTAAAAAAAAAATTTATGTACACGCGTTAGAAGTTATACTTCTTTAGTGTAACAGGACAAAAATCTTTTCAAAAATCTTATCTTTCGCCTTATTCTACGTTTGTAGAAAAACGACACTAACAATAGAAAAAAATACTTTCATAAATTTTCCCTAACGCGCCAAAAGAAGTATAACTTCATAGAAACTAACCTGTTGAGGGTGTCGGATTTTTGTAACGGTGTGTGCGCGCATCGTAAACATTTACTTTCATTTTTCCCAAAGGGTGTATCAAAAGTTAGCATTTTCTGTATTTTCTGTTTTAGGGAATGGATCACGTGTCCGCAAAAAACGTAGTACATCGGGATTTAGCCACTCGAAATATTCTCGTTGTAAACAAATACCACGTCAAGATCTCAGATTTTGGCCTTGCGAGGATTATTCCCAAGGAGGAGAATGCTTATAGGATAAAGACTGAGCGATTGTTGCCTATAAATTGGTATGTATTTTATAAAAAAAAAAATATTTAAACTATAATTATTATTAGTAAATAAAAATAAAAGATCAGTGTTGGCCTAGTCGCTTCAGCGTGCGACACTTATACCTGAGGTCGTAGGTTCGATCCCCGGCTGTGCACCAATACACTTTCTTTCTATGTGCGCATTTGACATTTGCTCGAACGGTGAATGAAAACATCGTGAGGAAACCGACATGTCTTAGACCCAAAAAGTCGACGGCGTGTGTTCACTGGAGGCTGATCACCTTCTTGCTTATTAAATTTAAAAATGATCATGAAACAGATTCAGACATCTGAGGCCAAGACCTAAAGAGGTTGTAGCGCCACTGATTTATTAATTTAAATAAAAATTACTCTTTTATCTCTTGCTTGTTTACGCTGTTATGAATATGTTCATTCTCGAAAACGAATCTTGTATGATTATGGGATTTATAACTAGAAGGAATTATAGCAAAAATATAATTATTCTCGTGAATTAATAGGCATTTTTGTTGCATTAAATTAAGGTGATATTTTACAATAAATTAATTCTTAATACACTTTCTCCTAACTAAAGTATTCACAATTAAGACTAATAAAAATCATAGAACTGTGTTTCCTATGTAATATAGTCAAGGGATGGGGGAAAATGTAGTAGTGTTGCTACTTAATTGGAAAAAAGCATTCAGTTGCCAGATTCTAATAAAAAAATGTTTTAAAGGTACGCGCCCGAGTCGGCCGTTGAGCCGTGGCACTTTTCAACGAAAAGTGACGTATGGTCATACGGTGTAACCGCGTGGGAGATACTGACACGTGCACGTCTTGAGGTCCCCAAATTTGATGTGGAACGACCACGGGAGAGGGCGTCTTGGTATGTAAAAATACCCATAAAGAATCAAATTAGATTTGACATATTAAAGTCATGCTGAGCGTTGTCTCGGCTTTCAATATCACCCTTAGTGACCATTTCTTGACCAAATCTAATATATAAAATTCTCGTGGCACAACGTTCGTTCCCATACTCCTCCGAAACGGCTCGACCGATTCTTATGAAATTTTTTATGCATATTCAGTAAGTCTGAGAATCGGTTACTATCTATTTTATAAACTCAAGTGATGAGGGGTGTGCACCCCAAACATTTTTTTTTAATTTTTAGACATTTTTTTTTGTTTCTAATTTTTTGAAACAACATACAAAAATACATACAACCCTTAATTTTAAACCCTCTACGATCAACCCCTATTTTCTATTATAGCAATAAATCTTCTTGCAGTTTCCAAATACCAGATGGGTGCCCGTCAGAAATATTTCGTCACTTGATGAAGGATTGCTGGGCGCTGGATCCTAACATGAGACCAAAATTTATTGACCTCGTACATATGTGCAAGCGATTTATGGACGAATATAAATGAAGGAACTAATTAGGCTTAGTTGGCTTGGAATCGCGGACAAATTCGCTTCTAGCGAACTATTATTGCGACGTAATTACGTACGTACAATTAAGGTAACTGTTCGTGTCTATTATTAGACCATTGACAACATTCCTATAAAGCATATATATTTGCTTTTGAGAATCGCTTTTAAAACGTGCGCCGAGAAATACATTTGTCTCTTTTGCGCATCGATCGTGCTGTCATGCTCTCGCATTAGTAAATTTTACGATTGACGATGACCTCGAATAGTAATACAATTTGTAATTTTCGCAATATTATATATAAGAGAAGTAACTAGAATGTTCTGCAATTATTGGGAACAAGAAATACATCGAAAGTCATCGAAATACATGCGTAATTGGCTTATTGCTTCGATTTTGTGATTTTATATTGAGGAAATTTATTTGATATACTTTTTTTATGTTGTTGTACCGACAGACAAAAAATATAGATTCGGAAATTTAATTTTTTCTACAAGAATTTATGAAATATTTTTTTTAATATGAAATGAAATTTTATGGAATGGTTGTATATTTGTTCCTCAATGTATTGAAGTTGTAAATATTTTAACTGCAAATACCTCTTTACAATTATTAAGGATTATAGTTTTAAGGGGACCCCGCACATGATATTTTAAGTATTTTTAATTGAATAAAAAATAAAAGAACTGTCGTAAAATTCATATTCTTAACGTCTTTCGGAAACGGAAAATGAAAAATATCTAGCCTATTTCAGTAATAAAAGTTTTCTTCTGGATAGAACTTTCAAAAACGCTTCAGTATTTCTAGATATACTTTCTTAACTTACTATTTTTTTTCTTTTCCTATGGTATTTGAAAACATTAGCTATCGAACATTTTACGTAGAGTGTATGTTTGTACTTTTAACTTTAAAATTGCAATTCATCCCGCTCTTAATAGTCCGGGATCCATGCCCATTTTTGCACTTGATTACTATCAAGCTATTTTCCGCGAGTAGTTTATTTTGATGAGACGCCCAATAATTTCCTGTACGAAACTCTCGTTGTGGTAGCTAACAGAAGTAGCAAGGATAAAATATGTTGATTTGATGATTCTCAAATATTTATTACTAACTGATTTTTTTTTGTTAAATCTCAAGACAATTATCTAAATTATTCGAAAAAATATTTGTCCTACAAAACTTGGTTTGATCAAAGAGTCCCCTTTCCGACATGTATCGATACGAGGTCATCATAAATGATTACTAACCAGCTGATTTATTTATTTTTACTTAGTTAATATTTATGTAATTTAACAGACATATTGTCCTACAATTGGGGTACGTTATCCTGGTCCTACGCTCAGAAATTGTTAATACCACAAGACCATTTTTCTCATTACTAACTGTAGGACAAAAATATCATATAATAGGTAGTGTGTTCTTGCCCAAATGAAACAACGTCCTACAAGAAAACAGGTATGTATCACTAGTCCGACAAGAATTGTAATTTTTTCGTTTTCCTATTTGTAAAATAAGATACAGTGAAAAAATCTTTTTTAAAATTTAAATAACTTTATTTTTTAGTAATCTAGGTACAAAAATTTGTGTATTCATATATAAAGAAGTTAATCTTCATCAGATTCATCTGATAAATTTCGCTACTAACATCGTATCATCTTCATCTGTTTCACTTTCTTCACTCGTGATATCTGACTCTAAAATAAAATATACAATAAAAATAATAATAATATTTTTGTAAATATAATATACTATAAAAATTTTGTTTAAGAATGTAACAATAATACAATGCTACAATAGAATGTTACAATGCTAATGATCGATTTTACATAATTACGTAAAAATATGAACTTAATAAATTATGTTTCAATTATTTTAAAAATAAAGTAAGTAAATATTCGATCGACTTACCTTTCATAAGACAAATATTTAGATTTCACTCGAAATTCTTTGTAACAAGAGGAAAATAACCTATTACTTGTCATTCCAATTTTCAGGTAATATAACACCGATATTTATGTAGATGATGCTTTGAGCAGAAGAAAAGTTTTGCAAGAAAGCCAAAAGTCTTTATTAAATTTCTTCACTTTTTCTCTCGAAAAGTAGAGTTTTCACATAACGAATTACACAAAAACACTCCATCATTATTTTGCAGCACAAAAAACATTTCTTGAAATTATTTATCAAAATAAAATAAAACACGTGGTCGACTGAGAAAATGTTTGCAGGCTTATGATCGACACTAACGTGGATACCTAATTCGCAGTAAGCAATGCTCTGCGCATGCGTACCGCCGTACCGGTGTACTCAGCTGTAGTAGCAAAATACAGAAACCCACGACATATTTTATCATTGTACCTCTGTTAGCTACCATAATTGAGAATTTTCGCATAGGAAATTGTTGGGCGACTCATCGAAACGAAGCTATTCACGAAGATTCAGCTTGATAGTAATTATTTTTACATAAGTCTGTACTACTACTTTTGAGCGTAGGACCAGGATAACGTACCGCAATTTGTAGGACAATATGTCTGTTAAATTACATAAATATTAACTAAGTAAAAAAAAAAAAATCAGCTGGTTAGTAATCATTTATGATGACCTCGTTATCGATACATGTCGGAAAGAGAACTCTTTGATCAAACCATAGATTTTGTAGGACAAATATTTTTTCGAATAATTTAGATAATTGTCTTGAGATTAACAAAAAAAAATCAGTTAGTAATAAATATTTAAGAATCATCAAATCAACATATTTTATCCTTGCTACTTCTGTTAGCTACCACAATCGAGAGTTTCGTACAGGAAATTATTGGGCGTCTCATCAAAATAAAGCTACTCACGGAAAATTAGCTTGATAGTAATCAATGCAATGGGCGGTGGATCCCGCTCTTAATAGGTGTTTTCTTAAGAAAAGAAACAAATGTGTCAAAATCTATCTATCTACATTTTTTAAGTGATGTCGATTTTTATATGCATACAAATATGATTTTTTGTAAAGAATGGTCAAGAATTAAAAAAAAAATGTGTGCGTGTACTAGGTGTACACACGTAAGAAGTGAAACTTCTTTATGACCTTATTAGAAACTATTTCTTTAAACACAGTAAATTTTGATACACTGCCTAGCATACAATTTACAAATTAATTGCTGCAAATTGCGATTAGCAAATTTCAAGTCGAAAATGTATCCCACTTCAGTCACATACTATATATCATATTTTAACGCCGATAAAGAAGTTTCACTTCGAAAATGTAATCCGTTGTCAAACTTCAAAGTCAAAAACATACTATATGTCATATTTTAACGCCGATAAAGAAGTTTGACTTCAAAAAGCAACATGGCGCGTAACGGAAAAATGTGACGCGTAACGCAAAAATGTTACACTAAATTTTTTTCCAACCCCGATAAAGAAGTTTCACTTCAAAAATTAAACAACCACCGTGGACTGTGCCATGATTTTTAGTCAATAATACTCAATTATACGGCAATGGTTCTAAAAGTAAAATGATAATAATTAAATGTTTCAACACGTAGCTTAAAGTATCATGTTTGCGGTGACCGTTGACTTTACTTGCCGATCAAAGGAAGTTTTAATAACATTTTAAGCAGTTTTTAGTTTTAAGAAAATCAGAGGTTTAATTGCTAGTCTAATGTTAAGTGGTACCTAACGGAATTACGAAAATAATATAGCTTTTATGTAAATAGTTTCAATGTACGATGTAAGTTTTAAACCAAAGATAATTTTTATTGTTATTGATATTATAATTTAAATCGCAATTGTAAATCTAAAATGATTTTATTTTACAGAATTCGTACAAATGTTTTTTTAATATGGAAAGTTATGAATTGAATGTGATAAGGTAGGGAGAGACTGATGTGGCGTGGTGCTATACAGTCGAATGGCCTTATTTTATATAGTTATAAACCAGTTTATATATCGTTTCAGTTTTAAAATGTTTAATTGAAGATAGTTATGATTGTAGCAGAAAATTTGTAAGTAGAAACTAGATAGTCCCAGAGTAATGCTAAGCGGGAACTCTTTTTTGAGTTATTGCTAAACATGTCAGTTTATTAAACTTATTACGTTCTCATATATCAAGGTCTTTTTAACGTGTTCTATCTTAATTATCCGTAACATTTTTGTTCTAGTTGCTATGTCAGCGGAATACTAATGTCGACGGCTCATTGGTCTAGTGGTTAGTAGACGGATCCTAAGCAATATTTTATTATTTCAAAAAAATACAATTATTTTATAATACATTAGACGACTCATTGGTCTAGTGGTTAGTACCCCTGACTGCGAATCCATGGGTCCCGGGTTCGATCCCCGGCTGAGACAAACATTGATGTGATGAGTATTTGGTGTTGTGCTTAGGTCTTGGGTGTTTAAATATGTATTTATATGTCTATATATAATATGTATGTATATCCGTTGCCTAGTATCCATAACACAAGCTTTACCAGCTTAGCATGGGACTAGGTCAATTGGTGTAAATTTTCCGTTCATAAAAATAAAATAAAATAGTTCCAATTCTATATTCTAGGGTATGTTGTCCATTATTTATATTTGATAATAATAATTTAATTTTATAATAAAAATAATATGGTCTATATTATGAGATAGATATCTACTGCATTTTCCGCTACATTCACAAGCTTATATTAAAACAATTTTTTATCGAATAATTGTTTTTTCTTCGTAACATTAAATGGCGAATTTAAGTACTTCTTATATTGACATATTAGTAACAAATTTTCTGTTAACTATAATCAAAAATTAATTGATAGATAAGGAAAGTGGAAAAGGAAGTTGTATGCCGCCAGTAGAAAGTTCTTCTGCCTTGTTGTTTTTGAAAGGCACTTCAACTTATTTCTCTATTCCGTGGAATATATAAACATGATGCCGTTTTTATTAAAAATTTATGAAATGTATGAAGATTTCTTATATGAATACCTATTGTGTGATATATGTATATGCTACAACGATTAGCTGAATTTT